CAACAAAAGAGTATAGAGTTAAGAGTCAGACGTACCTTGACTTTATCAGCTGCAGGACCTTGAGTGAATATCTTAAATTCTCCAAGCCTTGATTTCCATTAGTTAAGAAGAAAAGCTATACTGCTTTATGAATTGAATTGAGATCTCATTGAGAGGCTACATTTTATGCATTGAACACACACCCGCAGTGCACAGTGAACGCTTACAGCTGGGATCCACTATAGTCTGTCTTTAGCAGCTTCTTGGAGGGCCTCTAACTCTGGAGACCTCACAAACCTGACGTCTCCAGTGTTTGCTGTTGCCCTGATCATCATTTGTGGCCTTGGCCATCATCCTTTCAAAGCCACTGTTGCGGTGTTCATTCTGAAGGTGACCTTGCAGCTAAGTTAGTTGCTGTTCTGCATTTAACTCTCCATTCCATAAAACAGATCTAATTCTTTGCAGTTTAACTTTGAATCCTAATAGTCTGTGTCTTCACATCAGCCAAGGATAAACACAAAAAAAGTTGTGCCTGTGCTGAGTATATACAGAACTTATATATTTAAGGTGGAGGTCTCTCTCCTAAGCTGCTAGGCTTGTTCCAAAATCCTGTCTTAAATACTCAGCTCACCTCAGCTTCCCAAACAGCAGGAACTACAGGCATGCATGACTGACCTTGATGGTACATCTTTACTCTTGTCATTTCTCAAGTGTACATCTTGATAACAGCTATTTACTAGCACTTACAATATATTAGGTATTACAAGTAATCTAGTATGGGAAGGTTGTGCATGGGTTCTAGATAAGAACTGTGTCATCTTACTCAGGGTCCTGAGCATCTATGGAGCAGTAGAACCAACCCTCCGTGGGGGGCCAAGAAGGGATGTAAATACTTAGATGTTCAAAGAAATAAACATTACCATTTCCTAAACGATTCCCATACCAGAAAGATGATCTGCATATGTTTGAGAGAAGAATGAACTTCCTCAACATGGCCTTTTGTGCATCTGCCAACAAATGACAGCACAGTCCACCTGCCTAAGGAGTTTATGGGGACATAAAATCAGACAACCTTGTTAGTGCCCACCTTTGGACTGAAGGCTCTCGGAATGGCCTGGGACAAGAGTCCTGTTCCCTCAGACTCTGTGTGGGGCTGTAGTGCCCCAGCTCCTGCGCCTGACAGCACAGTCCTCAGGGAAAGGAGGGTTGAACCTGGTTGGAAACTCTTGGGGACTTTGGAGGTGGAGGGCCTGAGCCCTGCGATCCCTTCCTGCCTCGTTCTGTTCTGCTGCTAGGAAGAGCTTGGAAAGCAATCGCCCTTTCCTCTTTCTGTTCCAATCCCCTGCAGGACACCCAGAAAACACAGACTGCCCCAGAGCGCCCCTGAGGCCGCAGCTCTCATTATGGTTCCCTAACTCTTGGCTTCATTTGAATCTCATGATTCCCAGCGCTGCTGCCATCTCGGAATCCCAGGGGTTCGGGTGGACCTGTGAGGCCCGGGAGCAGTCAGTGAGCTCCAGCATCGGCCCAGTGGCTCAGCTTCTCCTGCCGTGACCGGAGCCGCGGACAGAGTGAGATGTCCGAATCCTAAAAAGAAGATGCTATTGGCACCGATGCGATGTGGGCGGCCTGGGGCCGATTGTGGAGTCCAAAATGGAGCCCGGATGTCCTGGGAGGCTTTTTAAAATGCGCCTTAAGGGAGGGAATACGAGGCCACAGTCCCATGCAAGTGGCCCCTCAGACCTATTTTCTGATCTCTGTTTTGGAGTTGAGGGTTTGGGATTCTGGGATCAGGGACTCCTTCCTGGGAGGGAAGGACAGAACGGAAAATTGGGGAAACACAGACACAAGCCCCCCAAAGGCAGCTTGCCAGATGAACCCAGTGCTTCTCCCAGGGGCAGAGGTATTTGATTTAGAAGGTGTTCACGCTTTTCATGTTCTGAAGCTATAGCATAAATCTGAGAAGAATCTTTTGTGCGCTTAACCCATGCAGAAATATAGTTGCCTCTGCTCAGACATCCATGTAGAGCCAGAGAAGACACACACACACACACACACACACACACACACACACACACACACACCTCTCTAAAGACAAGAAGTCCTCCTGATCATGTGAAAAGCCAGTAACTCAGGAATGTTTATCCCTCTTCATATACAAGTAGCCTGTCACTTATATAAGTAAAACTCTTATGAAAGCCCACGAAAACTGTAACTCCAGTGGACTGAAAAATTCCCTTCCATATTAGGAAATGTCCTTCCAGGGTAATCAAGACAAAACGGTAAATAGAAAAGTTTATACTGCCAAACAAACTAAAACATAGGTAACATTTTGTCTTTAATCATGTATTTTTCTGATTGCATATAAAAATTGTCCGCTTAGAGTCATCAGAGTGAAACTTAAAGATATATAAACAATAAAGCCTCCTGGGCAGTTTTGCACAGTTGGTGGGGCACCAGCACACAAGAACTCCATCTAGATTCCTTCCACCATTGTCTATTGTCTCAGCCACAGTTCTTGCAAACACATCCATTTTCTCAAATCATATTATAAATTTAAGCTATTTTCTTTAGGAAATGTGGATTCTTTCCTGTCTAAATACAAACAGAGATGCACTAGGCCTATCTTTGTTCTGGGTCTTAGTAGAGCCAAATGTTCATGTTCAATGAAAACATCCTTTATTCTCAAATTCTTGGTGCTTTCAGTGACCTGTGCAGATAGAAGGGATGTGCCAAGACAACCAACATCACATACATGGTCTCTAGGAAGCATGGAGAAGCTCACCCTGATACAGAAATCCCACAAAGAAGGCATTCACTCAAGACACCATCACTTGTGATAATCAGCTTTGTTTATTATATGATCATGCTTGGTGTTCACTGATAGATGACTATACATTGTTGTGCTTATGCTTTGGGCACCAGACTGCCTAGGTGAAAGTTCAACATGAGCCACATTCTAGCATGCAAGTGTGTACGCCCAACTGCTAACTGGAGCTCCTTCATGGATATGACGGCTAAATAGAATGGACTATGTCAAGTGCTGTCACTTTGTAGTGTGTGTCATTTGGTAAGTGATCAAGCAAATATTGCATGTTACTATGAAAATCTACTTTGTTTTCAGTTATTCAAGAAGCCCTTTCTGTCTTCATTTATACACAACAATGAAGAGGTATTAGCCCCTAACTGAAGTGCATACCCATTCTTTCCAGTGAGTCTGATGTTTATGCTTAAGGTGACATTTAGATTCAGGATATTAGTGGTCAACCTAATCTCCAGATTAGAGACGAATGGTATTCAAATGCAGTCGTGGTATTTAGTAGGCACTATGTGGAAAGGAGCTATGCAACTCGTGGGATGGGAGGGGTCAAAGTGAAGGAAGGGGTGACATTGTTCCCCCCAAAAAAGAAAGGTACTCATTATCTGACTTACGAAATGATAACCCCTCTGCACAACTCCTTCATAATACCAATAAAATTCTATTAAAAACAAACGTTATGGATAACACTTTGAAAAACCTACACTGTTTGTCTAATAAGTGGAATCAATTAGAATCATCCCCTAACCATAACGGATGAGTAGCTAGGTATTGACTCAAAACTACAACTTGTAATTTGAAATATACAATATTCTAACAGGTAAATAATATACCCTTGGGATAACAAATTACAGGAGCTATGAAAAGACATAGATAAGGAGACCATTTTCAGAGACAGCTTATACACATATAATTCCCAGTTCAACATTCAAAGATTTCTGAAAAAAAATCTTAGAACAGTCCAAAATGCTGTATCTTATACACATCTTTACCTTAGCCAAGGGAGAATGCCCCGTTTCCCCCTTTGCTAGCCAAAAGAGAACCACTCACCACCAAATTAGTATTGTCACTGTTCCATTGTGTTCAATATGGCCATGTACTGTTGTCTTCTAGATTTTCCTTTAGCCATGTTTTCCTTCACACAAGCTACGTGTGAGCTCCCTAAAAGCAGTCAGTGATTCTTAAATAAAATTTATTAATGCATGCAATACAAAGAAATAATATCTCGAGTAAATTCCTATGTTGGAAAAATAAAACTGGGATAATGGAAAATGTGTGGCTAACTTTGGCCAAAGCCTATATTACTTACTTATAAAATATTTTTTCCCACTAATGAAAGAAAAAGACAGGGCATGCTGTTGTACCACTAAAGCAGAGATCACGAAGAGAGAATTATAAGAGCATCACCAATAAAGGGCTTCTTACGGTGGCTACTAAGTACTTGGATGAAGTTTTAGCCAGTGTCAATAACAACAACAACAACAACAAAACCCTTAAGAGTAATATATCTCTAGGAAATGGAAACAAGAGGGTTTTCTTTGTTAAAATGAGTAATATCTATCAATACAAGCATGATTGGGTTTTTCCTTCTATAAATAATCTTTGAAATGCTGAAAGCAGGCCAGTTGAAGGTGTTTTCAGTAGTTAAGGTTCAGGAACACACACATCATCCACTGATGGACCTTCTTCTTAGCCTTCCAGATATTTGTTGCACCAGAGTTACACAAGCATGGAAGGCTTCTGATCAAGAGTTACACAAGCACGGAAGGCTTCTGATCAAGAGTCCTGATTTTTCTTCTTGAAGTTTTTGTATTAAACTGAATCTCCTTTAAGACAACACAGCTTTACATTGTTAGGCTCTGCTGTCTAAGCTAACTCAAAATGGATGTCTGTGTGATGGTAACAAATGTGAATCGAGGTCAAAACACGGTGAAAACATGATTTAACGGATCATGCATGCCCCTGCCCCTGAGGCTTATCGTTTACAGTTATTTTATTCACTAGCTTAGTTCAGTGTGTATTTTCAGATCATGATTAGATGTAATTCTAAAGGATGTATATTAAATTCAGAGATTCGGTTTTGATTCCAGTACCTGATGTAAAATATACCATAAAAATAAACAGACTTTAAAATAAAAAAAAGAAGCGGAATTATGCTTTTCTGGATTTAGGCAGTGATTGGGCACTGAGAGTGATTCAAATGTCACAACTGGGAAGGAGTTTCCTTGCACAGCGCCCTCCTCAGGGCACCCTTGACCTCTGCGTTCCTCAGGCTGTAGATCAGGGGGTTCAGCATGGGGTTGAAAAAGCTATAGAAGAGGAAAAGGATCTTCTGCTGCTCCTCGGGGTGCCTGGACTTGGGGGCCATGTACATGACTATGGCGCTGCCAAAGAAGAGCCCCACCACGCAGAGGTGGGAGGAGCAGGTGGAGAAGGTCTTCCTGCGGCCTTCCCCTGACCCGATCTGCAGGATGGCCAGCAGGATGCACGTGTAGGAGACCAGCACCAGGCACAGGGGACCCACCAGGATGAACACACAGGCTGCAAAGATGACCAAGAGATTGAGCCTGATGTCAGCACAGGCCAGCTTGAGCACTGAGAGGATTTCACAGAAGAAGTGGTTGATTTCATGAGGCCCACAGAAGGGCAGCCTCACGATGAGACTCAAATGGACCAGGGCCAGGAGGAAGGCACATGTCCAAGAAGTGACAACCAGAGAAACGCAGACTCTCCAGCTCATGATGACAGAGTATCGCAGTGGGTGGCAGATGGCCACGTAGCGGTCGTAGGACATGGCCACCAGCAGGAGACACTCTATGATAGCGAAGGTCAGGAAGAGAAAGGTCTGAATCATGCATCCAGCAAACGAGATGGGCTTGGCGGGATGCAGGAGGTTCACCAGCATCTGGGGCACCGTGTTGCAGGCGTAGGCCATGTCCACGATGGCCAGGTGGGAGAGGAAGAAGTACATGGGGGTGTGCAGTCTGGGGTCCAGATAGATGAGCCCCAGGATGACGCCATTGCTCAGTAATGTGAAGGAATAGAAGAATGAGAAAATTCCAAAAAGGACTATATGAATCCTAGGTCCAAGACCAAATCCCAGAAGGATGAATTCTGTGACCATTGTCTGATTTTTCTCCATGGCACTATGAAAATGAGACTCAAAAAAATGTCAGATACAATTCTTTTAAAACATCTTCTTATTATGTCATAGGCGTTAGATGTGTATAGATGTGTTAACAAATACCATTAGTATCTCAGTTGATTAAATTAATAACATTTTTCATAATAAAATTTAAATTGAGTTTTTTCCACAACCTGATTGTTTAGTTTAAGGAAAATATATTGCTAGTAATGGCTGAGAGTCATTAATAGGCATGCAATTATGCATGAACAAGCCATGCATATGAAGTAACTATGATGCTTGTTTCTGCATTCACCTATGCACTTCTAGAAGAGAATCATTGAGTAGCAGGAAGAGTAATGGAGTAGCTTTAAAAAGAAAACTGGCCTCTGAAAAGAATTGCTACTGTTGGGTATGAATCACAGAGTTTCTCATAATATTTAAATGGTAATGAATGTTCAGAGAGTATTTTACAAGACTTCCTCCAAAGCAAATCACAGAGCAGCAACTTCTGTGATTAACATCATTTCTCTATGGACAAACAATAGTTGTGGTCAGGTATGGAGCACATTTGGCACATATTCTACATTCTACATTTTGTATATGTATTTATATGCATATATGTATTTATATACGATGTAGAATGTTTGGAAATGGGCTGAGGAAGAAAACTTGGATACCAAGAGATAATTATTCTCCAAAAAATGTACTCATAGATATGTGCATATGTACGCTAAGTATTTATTCTTGTTTCGAATATTGGAAACTGAATTGTGATAACTTGGCAAGTGGATAAGTGGGTGTCTCACAGAATTATTACTCAGAAGATTTTCACCTACATTTATATTATTGTGAACACCTTGAATTTCATCAATACTGGCAGTCCAGAATTACAAGTGTCACTCTCAGTACTGTTGTTCAAATGTGTTTCCAAAACTCTCAAGAATTTGGAAGCCGACTAGGGGAGGTGCCTGTGTGAAAAGCACACAGACATGATTTTCTATGCACTCTCTAGACAAGTTCTCCTTAGTAAATTTTATTTTTCCTGAATGGCCACAACCTAACATGAAACTCAGGAAGAAATACGTGGAAGCTGTTGTAAATCTAGTTCTTAAGTCATGTTTTTAACGCAATAGCTGAGATCTCAAAGACAACAATTTGCCATCTCACTGTGAGAAGCAGTGGCTAACCTCAGCAATAAGACTCATCACACACCATAGAAGCCGATGATAGAATGAATTGACACATGGATAGTCCTATTTGACTGTCACTTGACTAATACCTGTGTCAACTGTTAGATCTCTGCTACTCTGATGAGTTTAGCTGTCTGTATTGGATCTTGGATTAGAGTTTTGTCCATAAGCCACGCTCGGGTTCTGGTTTCTTTTACAAACATTCCTCAGACGGGGTAAAGACTGCATTGCTTTAGGCCACTCCCTGTTTTACTTTACCAGTCCTCATGGACGTGGCAGGAAGTGTACCCTAAGGAATGTGCAGTAGGAGACAGCATTGCATTCTGAGTAAAACCCATAGGCAACTATACGAATGATAATCAAGAGGTACAAACCAGACCATACCAGGAAACAGGACTGGAGATTCTGGGGCGTTTAAAAGCCCAATCCTGCTCTTTTGATACACGTTTCCAGATTGAGGGCAGGACAATTGGGCTTTGTGGTACAACATAGTTTTAGGAGGGTCCTATCTAGTGAAAGAACAAAATGACATGAGTAGTGAACAACGTGGAGTGTAAATGCAACTGCACTGGGTCATGCGTACACAAGGACCTTTAGGGAACAGGAGACACAAGGATCCTGGTCTCCACTGGGTGAACATCTGTAAGTCTACATGGTGGTTCTGGTTATCAGTGGTTATCAACAGCCTTACCGAATAAGGCCTCCACAGAGCTTTTCTTACTCTGATTGCATGTTCTCCAATCAAACATAAGGGAATAGCTCCTTTTCTTGTGCAGGAATATATCACAGCAGAATTCTTTGCTTCTTTTATGATTACATTCTGAATGCTAAGTAAGTGTGCACTTAGAGATTCTGCTTTCTGTATTGTCCTACTGTGCTATTATATAACACGATGAAGTTCTTGGACAAGATTCCCAAAGTTGGATGTAAAGGTGAGGACAAAATCCTGGATCAATGGAACCTCTTTTAAGCAACATTTGGGGAAGAGATATAGGTGCCTTTCCAGGAGTAATGGAGGAGTTTACTATTTATTGAAAGGAACCAAAAATCATTTTGACATGAACATGATCTAAAGTATATATTTCAAGCATCCTTACAAATGACAAGATGATTTGATGTTAGGTGAATATTAAACATTTCGGTGGAAATTTAATTTTTAAACTATATTTTTATTTAAAACATATATATATATATGTCCTGTATTTTATTTAATATATACTTACATGTATTTTAAAACATTTTTTGGGGGGTCCGGTCATGGGGCCTGAACTTTGTGCCTGGGCGCTGTCCCTCAGCTCTTCAGCTCAAGGCTAGCACTCTACCACTTGAGCCACAGCGCCACTTCCGGCTTTTTTCTTTTTTCTTATGTGGTGCTTGGGGAATCGAACCAGGGCCTCATACATGCAAGGCAAGTGCTCTACCACTGAGCCACCTTCCCAGCCCCTTTTAAAACATTTTTATATGTGGAAATATATATAGGAAAATATTTGGGTCTGCTTTTTTGATAGCTAAATATGAATTGACAAAGTCAGACAATATTAAGATAATTTCTAGTGTGAAAGCTCCATTTTTCCACCCTGATTTAGCTCAATGACGTAAAATAGACTTGTTTATTTCATACTTTTGGAAACATATACATTTGTCAATGAGAAATAAATGTAAACAATTTTTAAAGGTACTTATATATACTTATATCTTACCTGATCCGCTTTCTTCCTCCATAATTATGCCAATTTCAGCCTCTTTTCCTGTAAGTTACAAAAATTTCATTCTCAGTTATCTGTATTACCAACAAAATCATAGTCAGGTGCTGGTAGCTCAAGCCGGTTATTCAAGATCTGAGGTTCACGGTTTGAAGCCAGCTCAGGCAAGAAAATCCATGAGATTCTGATTGTCCAATAACTTACTTTAAAAAACTGTAAGTGGGGGCTGAGAAGGTGACTCGGTAGTAGAGTGCTTGCCTTGCATGAATGAAGCCCTGGGTTCAATTCCTCAGCACCACATAAGCAGAAAAAAGCCGGAAGTGGCACTGTAGCTCAAGTGGTAGGGTGCTAGCCTTGAGATGAAGAGCTGAGGGACAGTGCTCAGGCCCAGAGTTCAAGCCCCATGACCAACCAAAAACAAAGCTGTAAGTGAGGTTGTGGCTCAAATGGTAGAGGGCTAGCCTTGAGCATGAAAATCTCAGGGACATGTCTTGGCCCCAGGACCAGCTCAAAACAAAAACAAATAAATAAAATCTTTGTACTGTAATAATATGAATCACAAATGATAAAGATAAATTAAATTTAGGATGTACACTTATTTTTCCCTTAGTTTGTGTGATCTCTAAATATTTAATATGAATTAATAATAAATTTCCACAGGTCTAGTTTGAGGGGAGAAATGAATCCACATTACAATACATTCAAGTACCAAATGTAAACTCCAGGCAATTCAATGTATATTAAAGAACTGTGAGTTCAGAAGTTAAAAATGGGAAATTTTTAGCCAGTTAAATAATTTGACAACTCTAAAGATCAAAAGAAAATGACTAAGAAAGAAGTCATTTCTTGACACACAGACTTCACCAGAAAGTGCTCCTGTACTTCAAATAGTAAGTCTCAAGATTTGATGAGCTCACAGGCACTTTGCTCATTAAGGCCATGAGTAAAGCCAAACTGGAATTCTTATTCCATAGTGCAGCTCAGCTGCATGGATGTCTACTTACAAGTAACAAGAAATAAATGAGAACAAAATTTCCTGTGTATATGGTTATAAGCTGAGACTTTGCCAAGTTATCTTGTGGAGCAAGAATTGATAAGACAATTGGCTTTCTAAGTATGTATTCTATTTTGAACCATAGAGACAAATGGAGGGCCATTTTCATGTGATTACAAGTGCATTGGCTAATCAATTAAAGATTTGTAGGGAGTAGGTAATACTTAAAGTGCTTTGTGTGGACATTGTAAGAGCACAAATTACAGCAGGTGCATGGTCCTGAACCTTGAAGATTTTATTGTCAAAATTGCTTTAGGATGAAGAAGAAACACAACTAAAAAGTTGGATTTAAAATATTAAAAAGTCCTCTAAAAAAACAAATTCCAAGAATTACTGGATCTTACCTCCTTCTCCCAGTTTTCTACTCTAGTACCTGACACCTTAGCATCTCTTCTATTCTTTTTCCATCCTTACCTCAAAGACTTACCTTCCAGACCACTGGAAATCTACTATGCACATGTATTTATTGAGTACAGTCCAGGCAGCTGATACGATCTTCAATGCTATATTTAACAACAACAACAAAAATATATATGTAAGTGTAAGAAATTGATTTTGTATCCATTTGAATTCATGATCCATTGCAACACATATGATTACAAACTTAGTATTTAGTTTAGTTGCACTGACAAACATTCAAATCATAAAATAACCAATCTATGTTAATTTTCCTGTATCATGCTACCATAAAATAACACTAAAATTTCAAGTAGAGAAATTGTTCAACATCTGTTATCTAAACCTTTAATATAAAAATTCCTTACTATCTTTAGTGCCATCAGTCCCAAATAAACCTCTCATTAATATCTCGCTACCAAAGTAGTAAAACTTGCCAAATCCTAAACACATTTACCCAATTTCAATGTGTACCTATTTATCCCAAAAATATTCATGTAGAGTTTCAAAGATGAGCATGTCTAGTTCACATTAAGATAGTTTATTTTTACTCCTAGTACTGAAATAATGCCAGTAATAGAGTGAACGTTAACTAAACACTAGATGCTACCATCTGGCTGGAAGGACAGATGGCAGAATGAAAATCAGGTGACCTTGCTGGTTCCAACATGT